AAAAAAAAAAAAAAAAAAAAAAAAAAAAAGATGGAAAGAAATTGCTTACATCATAAAGCAATATAAAAATATATTTTAAAATATATATACGTATAAATTTATCTATAACAGATAAATGTATATATAAATATAAATATATATTAAAAATATTTTAAAGGATTTTCAGTGCCTTGCCAACATTAATTTGTTAATAATAATAATAGCAGTAGTAGGCTAACATTTATCAAGTGTTTATTAGATGCCAGTCACTGTTCTAAGCCCTTTATATATATTATTAACTCATTTGGTTTCCACAATTTATGGAATAGGTACTATTACTGGATTAATTATGCAGATGATAAACTAATTTTATTTACCTAAAATTATGGAGTTAGGAGGTAGCAGAGGCAGATTCAAATCTATGCATACTGGTTCCAGAGACTATGTTCTTAAACCATTATATCTCTGGACATCCGTGTGTACGCAGTCTGAAGTAAACGAAAAAGGTAACAGAAACTGAGAAATTAGTTAGTAGGCTACTACACTAATATAAATATAGCAAACAGAGCAACAATAACAAAATTAAAAGGGAGAGAGAAAAGGATAAAGACACTTTAACAGAAGAATCAGTCCCTGGTAAGTGACTAAAAAAGAAGAAAGAAAACTAAAAGATGACTTAGGGGTTGTTATAAAATGAAAAATTGCAAGTTAGATTTAGAAGGGCTATGTGGCAGAATAGAAATAATAGAGGACTAAGCGTCAGAAAAATCTGGGTTCTAGTCCCAGGTCTTTTACTAAATTGTCATTTTCCTTTGGGCAATATCTTAACTGCTCTGGACTTCACTTTTTCTCATTTTGTGAAAAGAAATAAAATCCAATCTGCTTATCTGCAAAGTTAATTACCATTTATATAGCAATTTTCAGTTCATATTGTAATGTATTTTTACATAAATTGTAGGAGTAGGACTTTACACAAAGTAAGGCATGCTATTGTTTCAGGCATTCTGAGCTAAATATCAACACGTAACATTATGTAGTGATTCTCAACTGGCCAGGTGCTATGGCTCATGCCTGTAACCCCAACGCTTTGGGAAGCCGGGTAGACCACTTGAGCCCTGGAGTTTGAGATCAGGCTGGGCAACATAGCAAAACCTTGCCTCTACAAAAAAATGCAAAAATTAGCCAGGTGTGGTGGTGTATGCCTTAAGTCCCAGCTACTTGGGAGGCTGAGGTGGGAGAATGGCTTGAGCCCAGGGGACAGGCTGCAGTGAGCCGAGACAGCACCACTGCACTCTAGCCTGGGTAACAGAGCCAGACCCTGCATTTAAAAAAAATAAAAAATAAAAAAAGCAGTAATTCTCAGAAAGTAGTTTGGACATGGTCGAATACAGATAAAGCATTTATTAGCATAGAAGTAACAGTAAAATCCATGAGTCAGTCCCAGAAAGAGTATAAAGAAAGAAGAATGGGGGTTCTGGAAGTTTCTTAACTGCCAAAATCCAAATTTGCAAATAGTGCTAAGACTTTCTTCATAAACCTTTTTTATGAGAAAGTGTTATAAAAGTTCCCTTCATGAGAAACCCTTCTTGTGGTGGGTTGAATTCACAGTACAAGTTAGGTATCCCTTACCCGAAATGCTTGGAACAAAATGTATTTTGGATTAAAAAATCTGTTTTCAAGGCCAGTCCCCATGGCGCATGCCTGTAATCCCAGAACTTTGGGAGGCTGAGATGGGTGGATCACCTGAGGTCGGGAGTTCGAGACCAGCCTGACCAACATGGAAAAATCCTGTCTCTAGTAAAAATACAAAATTAGCCGGGCATGGTAGTCCATGCCTGTAATCCCTCCTGAAGCTGAGGCAGGAGAATCACTTGAACCTGGGTGGCGAAGAGTGCAGTGACCTAAGATTGGGCCACTGCACTCCAGCCTGGCGACAAGAGAGAAACTCTGTCTCAAAAAAAGAAAAGGGGTAACAATGGTATAAAGTTGTTCTCAAAATTAAATGATAAAGCATTTTGTATATTTAGTCAATAATAAATATCCAACAAATGGTAAATGTTATTATTTTATGCACTTGTTTACTTAGGACATTCAAGTAGAGCCATATTTTAATCTTTTGTAATAGCAAAGTAGACATTTCAAGTTAACAATCCTAAGGAAGGAAGATCAGTTCTTTTGTTTACTTCTTATTTTCAATTTTCAACATATTCCATAGTTTCACAGGATCATTCAGTTCTGACTGCATTAATACTAACAAATGGGTCAATGATAATAAATATATAATCTGAGAAAGTATTTAGCTATCATGGTTGTTCCATATAATTGTTTATATATTGTTTCACATACTGTTTATCCTGTAACTGTGTCTCTTGTAGAAAACAATTTACAAATACAAATGCAACACGAAGAACACACTATTAATACAGGGCCAAAATAAGATCAGATGTAAGTTTGTACTATACATACATCAGAATTCTCCCTGAATGTAGGGATGTTCAACAGGTATTCAAAAAGAAGGGCCCATGGTTAGAGGTTAGGAAATGCTGTTTTGAAATTAGCATTGTAAAGACCCCCAAAGAAACCAAATTATTGGTATGGTAATGTTTAGTTTGAATCTTCAGGGAAGGAAAATTAGTATGGATCATCCTCTAAACTTATTTGAGCACAGAACCCTTCTTCCTTTGATCATTTCATATGAGTACTGTGAGAAGTGCTGCATCCAACTATTGCTACAAATGAAGTTAAATAAATCAATATGGAGTTGGGAATATGACATTGGGAAATAATTTCCCTTTCTCTTTACAGAGTTCATGGAGGGAAAAAAATTTCAGGAAGACTCAGAAAGAAGAAATGAAATGTGTTAAAACAAACAAACAAAACCAGTGCAGTAGTTAGAAACACATTCCGAGATTATCACCAGGAGACATACATGGTCAGGGTAGGATAAACAAGAGACCAGACTTTTGAAAACAGAAGACAGAGTTTTTAAAAGAAAAACACGGCCGGGTGTGGTGGCTCATGCCTGTAATCCCAGCACTTTGGAAGGCTGGATCACGAGGTCAGCAGGTCGAGACCATCCTGGCTAACACAGTGAAACCCCATCTCTACTAAAAATACAAAAAGTTAGCTGTGTGTAGTGGCAGGCACCTGTAGTCCCAGCTACTCAGGAGGCTGAGGCAGGAGAATTGCTTGAGCCCAGGAGGTAGAGGTTGGAGTGAGCCGAGATCGCGCCCCTGCACTCTAGCCTGAGTGTCAGAGCGAGACTCCGTCTCACACACACACATCACCCCCCAAAAAACAAAAAAAAGTGTGTGTTAACAAGAAAGTGATAATGAACCACTTGGGCAAATTATCCTTGAATCTTCAAGCATGTTCAACTATTACAGTTCTTAATGGGTAGAGAAACTAAAATTCTAAATTGTCTAAGCTTAGATCCCATAGAGCAATAAAGATTTACTTACTTCACCAGAGCAGCTGCTTCAGGAAGTACATCAGCAAATGATTCACGGAATATGATTGCATTTTTCCTTTTACAGTTCTGTATGACATCATTGGCAAGGTAAAAGAGATTCAAACGGTGGGGATATGCAGCTAGAGATGACAAAGACAATAAATAAAACCAAATGAGTCAATTTATACTTAGTTCAACTTATACCAAATACAGTGTTCTCAAACTAACTGGTTTTTGTTTTTTTTAAACATGGATATAAAAAGATGAATGTAATTACATGGATGGAATGGAGGAAGGATGAATGGATAAACCAACAAATGAACTAATGGTGAAAGGGAGTAAGGATGGACGGATAAAAAGCCAAATGAAGTAACGGATCAGTTTACTGAACGCACTAAAAACCTTGACTACTTCAGGTTAAGTTTCTGCTCAAGGCACTCCTTGTCAAGGAGATTTCTCCCTAACTTTGTAGACGTATGGCGCTAAAAAAAAAAAAAGCCCATTAACTCTGGAGAAGCTAAAATAAAACAAAATTATAGTCTCAGACATCTGGGATGACAAAAAAAAAAAAAAAGAAAGAAAAGAAAAAAGAGCTGAACATGCTCAACTTGTTGCAGAAATACCAAAGTTAGTAGAAAGAGCATGGGGCTTTGTAATCAAATCAGAATGTGACCTTAAGCAAACTGCTTCACATTTATTATAGATAGACCCTCTCCCTATCAACCAATCCAGACACTACTTAGATACATCTTAGTCTTCCCATCTACTGGAGGGAGGCTCTGCTGCTGCTGCTGCTGCTTTCATCACTAGACAAGTGTCCTGCAAAATAATATGATCCTACGTATGCATCTAGGTTAAGCTTTTCTTTCTCTTTTTTTTTTTTTTTTTCAGACATCATCTCACTCTGTTGCCCAGGCTGGAATACAGTGGCACTATCTCAGCTCAATGTAACCTTCACTTCCCGGGTTCAAGCAATTCTCCTGCCTCAGCCTCCTGAGTAGCTGGGATTACACGCCTGACCAATATTTTTTGTAGAGATGGGGTTTCACCATATTGGTCAGGCTGATCTTGAACTCTTGACCTTGTGATCCACCCGCCTTGGCCTCCCAAAGTGCTGGGATTACAGGCATGAGCCACCATGCCTGGTCTTTTTTTTTTTTTTTGAGATGGAGTCTTGCTCCGTTGCCCAGGCTGGAGTGAAGTGGCACAATCTCAGCTCACTGCAACCTCCACCTCCTGGGCTCAAGTGATTCCCCTGTCTCAGCCTCCCAAGTAGCTGGGACTATAGGTGCACACCACCATGCACAGCTAATTATTTTGTACTTTTAGTAGAGATGGGGTTTTATACCATGTTGGCCAGGCTGATCTCAAACTCCTGACTTCAGGTGTTCTGCCCACTTTGGCTTTCCAAAGTGCTGGGATTACAGGCGTGAGCCACTGCACCCAGTCAGGTAAACTTTTCAACAGCTCATGACAAGGCCCAATCAATGTACTATCTGGAACCCGGAGCAAAGTCACCTTAAGTTTCATTATTCTGCTGGGCAATTTCAAAGTCTATATGGATAATCCCCCATGTTTTCTTGCCTATCAGTTCCTTGAACCCAGATTCAGTGACCTCTAAGAACCACTCCTTTGTACATTTTAAAATCTCCTTCTCTGACCACAACCTCCCACTCCCATTATACTTTTCTTCAGTTTCATCAAGATCTGTTTTTTTTTTTTCCTCTAAAAGATCTCAGTTTTTTTTCCCTCTAATTCTACATTCTCTTCTCAGTACTCAATTATTCACCGATTCCAGAATCCTTGTCCATTATTTAAACCACTACTAAAACCCTCATACTCTTTTCCTTCTCCCTGCTAATTCCGCCTTCTATCTCACGCACTCAATGAAATCCCAAATTTGGATCATTCTAACTAACTGCCTTTACTCCATCTTTATTTCTGTTGCTGGGTTCTGCTGAAGAAAAATCATACCAAAAAGAAAATTTAAATCCTATAAATTAAGTCTCCTTTTTCACCTGGGCCCTCAATGATACATACTGTCCCCCTCAGATGTGTTAAGTCAGTATTCTCTCTCAAAGAAGTATTTCAAATTTTAACCACTTGTCAGGTCCGAGTCTTTACCACGTATCTTCTCACTCTCAGGAGACAAGCTTACATGGTGTTTCACAGGGAAAGCAGAATTCATTAGATGGAAATTATCTTCTGTCAAAAAAAAAAATGCATCCACATTTAAACTCACCTAGATCAATTTACCTAACAAAAAGCATCACTCCTCCTATTAAAGAGTAATCCTTTCATTACTTACTGTTTCCTAGACTCTATTCACACCTTGAGAACCTTATGCTCCATTAACTATGTTTGCTTCTTTTTTGTTTGTGTTCGTTTGTTTGCAGGCAGGGTCTCATTCCTTTCACCTAGGGTGGGGTGCGGTGATGTGATCACGGTTCACCATAGCCTTAGTCTAGGGCTCAGCTGATCCTCCCACCTCAGGCCTCTCAAGTAGTTGGGACTTCAGGCATGCCACCATGCCTGGCTAATTTTTCTTTGTATTTTTAGTAGAGATAAGGTTTTGTCATGTTGCCCAGGCTGGTCCTATATTCTTGGGCTCAAGCAATCTGCCTGCCTTGGCCTCCAAAAGTGCTGAGATTACAGGAATGAACTACTGCGCCTGGCCTGTCCTTGCTTCTATTTTAGTTTGATTCCTATTTTTATTTATTTATTTATTATTTTTTATTTATTTTGAGACAGAGTTTCCCTCTTGTCGCCCAGGCTGGAGTGCAATGGCACAATCTCGACTCAATCTCCGCCTCCTGGGTTCAAGCGATTCTCTTGCCTCAGCCTCCTGAAGTAGCTGGGATTACAGGTGCCTATTACCATGCCCAACTAATTTTTTTGCATTTTTAGTAGAGATGGGGTTTTACCATGTTGGCAGGCTGGTCTTGAACTCCTGACCTCAGGTGATCCACCCACCTCAGCCTCCCAAAGTGTTCGGATTACAGGCGCGAGCCACTGTGCCCAGCTTCTTATTTATATTTATATTGTATTCCTTCAGGCTGTCTTTCAACATATGTATATGCATGTTTCTCCTATCTTGACACTTTCTTGCGACCACCTTACGTTATCCCTAGCCTTTCCTTCCTTGCCTAATGTTCGTTAAGATCTTTTACGGTGAAGAGTCCGAATGAGTTTTGTATGTTCACTGTCTACACTTTTAACTCCCATTAACTCCATAATTATAGGAGCCATCTTTTTATTGCACTTAAAAAATATGCAATCTACCATGCTAACAGCTTTATACAAATTATTATCTCATTTATGTTGCCAAGAGTTCACTCAAACACCAAATTTCAAGGTTGCTAATAAATTCCAATTTAGTAAACCCAATGGAGATTTTTAAAAACGTTATTTATTTGCGGCTTTTGGCACACAGAAAAATGTCACAATACTTTCTCCTTTGGCTTCTGTCTTAACCACTCTCCTGGTTTTCATCCTACCTCTCTGGCTCCTCCTCTACAATCATGTATAGGTAGCCAGTCTGCCCATGATCATCCTCTTTTAAATGCTGATGTTCTCCAGGATTCTCTCCTGAGCACTGTTCTCTACTCATAGCATAGTGTTTTAACATTTCAGGCTTTTAAGTTAATCTTTTCCATTTCTGGCTCTGTCATTTGTTAGCTTTGGAGTCTCTTCTCTATGTTGCTTTCCTGTGACAGCCTCACAGGATTGTTAGAACTAAATAAAACAATGTATGTAAAATAATTAAGACAGGGCTTAACACGGAGAAAATGGAATGCTACCAGCATAATCGCCTTCTTCCACCTCCTGGTTGCTTTAATTATTTCAACCTAGGTATCAATGACTCCCGTATCTGTAAATGTCAGGCTTGGATTTCCCTTTACCAGTTAATGTACACATCCACCTCAAAGTCTCCGAGGTGCCCTGAGGTTGATTTTATTTATTTATATATTTCTGTCACCCAGGCTGGAATACAGTCACAATCTTGGCCCACTGCAACCTCTGCCTCTTGGGTTCCAGTTATCTTTCCACCACAGCCTCCCAAGTAGCTGGGACTACAGGCACGTGCCACTATGTCTGGCTAATTTCGCTCGTTTCCCAGGCTGGAGTGCAATGGCTCAGTGCAACCTCTGCCTCCTGGGTTCAAGCAATTCTCCTGCCTCACCCTCCTGAGTAGCTGGGATTATAAGCTGTGCCACTACGCCCGGCTAATTTTGAATTTTTAGTAGAGACAGGCTGGTCTTGAACTCCCGGCCTCAAGGGATCCACCTGCCTCATCTTCCCAAAGTGCTGGGATTACAGACATGAGCCACTGCACCCAGCTGATTTTAATATTTTATGATTAATAAAACATTAATCATCTTCCTCTTCTTCTATTAGTACTCTTTAGTCAGAATTTTAGCAATTCTTTCTAACTCCTTCTCCTTACCCCCTTACATCTATTAATAAACCTCCCAACTCTACCCAATTTTGTCTCCAATAATATTTCTCAACTTTATCCCCTCTTGTATTTCCTTTCCTACTATTGCTGTTTTCTAGGATTCATCACCATTGACCTGGACCACTCCTGCAACAGCCTCCTAACTAGTCATCTGTCCCTAGACTTGGTCCCCTTAAATTTCCTCGCTATATTGTTGCCAAATTTATTTCTTTTCTCTTCCTTTCTCCTTCCTCCCTCCCTTCCTTCCCTTCCCTTCCTCCCTTCCTTCCTTCCTCTCTCTCTCTCTGTCTCTCTCTCTCAAAAGATCAGATTTATTTGAAGAAAACAAAAAACCCACAGCACAAAGGATGGGATTTTACATCTCAAGACATCTCCCAGGTATTAAGTCTACAGGTTACAAATCATTTTCTTTTCTTTTTCTGTTTTTAAGAGGAGAAGTCTCTTTCTGTTGCCGAGGCTAGAGTGCAGTAGTGCAATCCTGGCTCACCGCAGCCTCTGCATCGCGGGTTTTAGCAATTCCCTGCCTCAATCTCCCGAGTAGCTGGGACTACAGGTGCATGCTGCTACGTCTGGCTAATTTCTTGTATTTTAGCAGAGATGGGGTTTCACTATGTGGCCCAAGCTGGTCTTGAACTCCTAAGCTCAGGCAATCCATCCACCTTGGCTTCCCGAAGTGCTAGG